CGGCACCGTTCGACCACGGCGCGTCTAATGGTGAAGGTTTCATCGAAGGGTTCAGTAGTTTCGGAGCATGGGCTCGTCTGCTTTTTAGGGGGTGTATGGTTCTGGACCTTTTGGTCCGATTGGTCCAGTCAGAGTGAACCAATCGCCAAAAAACGAAAAACGGCACCTATATAAGTTCCCTGCTATTGAATGATGAAAGAATTATCAAAATCGGTCCAGTAGTTACTGAGCATGGGCTCGTCTGCTAATCTCGTCTGCTTTTTAGACAACTCCCTCTTGGTCGTCTCCTCCGGTCTTCATCCCCCTGCCCCGCGGGCCACGCATCCTGGCCGCGAAACGTTGAGCGTTGGAGTATCAATTCAATTATCAGATAGTTTGCCCACCTTAGGACTGCATTTGCCGGCTGATTTTGCACTTCGGTGTCCGCCAGCACTGGCCACTGGGAGGGAGGACTTTCATTGGTGAAATAGTGGGAAGGGACCGACGAGTCGTATCGTGTAGGGTCCTTCACTATGACCGTATCAAATGCATCGGCGAGACGAGTACGACAGCCAGCAACTCTTCTACGCTTTTCTGAGAAAGACCGCATAAAAAGGATCCCATCCTAGCCTCTTGATCCCATAATGCCTTCTCGCCTCCCTCCGCACCTCCCCTCCCCACGGTATATAGAGAACTCCCTCCCCCTCCCCCGCCCCCAACCCAAGCCGGCCGTATATCAGCTGTATCAGCTCCCCTCCCCCCTCCAGCCTTCAAGGTCACAGTTCCGGTTCAGCGAATCATGAATCATGAATCGTGAATCCAACGTGAATCGGGCAGCTGCTGGGTTGTAGACGAAAACGACGCAAAATGGTTCCAGGTAAATTCATGGTACTGGCTCTCATGCGTATTGAAAGGGAGGCTGGCTGTAGAAATCTGCAATAGCATGAATAAAATGGTGCTATTTCGTCTCGTGGCATGCCTCGTGGTTTGTGTTGTTGCCGGTTGTGTTTGGGGGCGTTGGTGCTTTTGTTTTGGGTTATCCGATTTTGTTCTTCTGAATCGAAGGAATTCACCAAACAAATTATTAAAGGATCTTCTCAAGGTATAGTGTAATTATCAGTGTTCGTCTACATCGCTGTAGTTGTGACTTGTAAAGGACAGCATAGGCGGCGGAACGGGGGGGGGGGGGGGCACCGTCTCCCCCTTTGATTTTGGTATGTTAACATTAGCCCTATTGGCGTTACATGGAAAGAATGGGACAAAAGTCGGTAGTGACCCCCCCCCCCTTCATTGAAGTTGTTCCGCCACCACTGCTGGACGGGGACGGGAAAGCATTGGTTGTGATTTGTGGATCTTAGGAGTTATTTTCAGCACTTGGCATTAACATTCAAGACAAATTGTGATTATTGGCAAGTAGTGATGTTCAAAGTACTGCATTTTAGTGCATTATCCACATGTTTTGTTTTTAATATTATACTTAGTTTTTTTTAAATTTGACCTTGACCTTCACAGTTCGCTGTAGATGTATGGGACGGTGAAACAGGGCGCCTGGGGCGATTTGATCAAGGTTCGTGAAACTCGCACGTGACGTTTCGTATGTAGAAGGCCCATGGGGAGGGGGAGAAGTTCCAAATCCAAATGTCACGTGAATATGCCCTCTGGCACCCTGTTTTCACCGGCGTCCGATGTATGTGAGGTTCTGCTAGCTAAATTACTTGGAAAACTGGCAAATGCACACTGCTTTTCATAGATGATAAATGTGTTCAAAATTTTACGTAGGTACATGATGTGTGTCTAAATACACATTTGACTTGTTATTGTTATCATTTATCCTTTATGTACATGACTTGGACTCTGATTCCCCTCACTCCCAAGTAGTCTTTACTTATTTTTACAATCCCACAGGCCTCAGGGATCAGGAGACAGGATACTCAACTTGTCAGGAACCACAACAGATCTAATCAATCAGTCGTACAGTGTTAAGCACTGTGCTAATTTATCAGTATTTAAATCGTACTTTGAAAATATTTTTCATGTCTCAAATTATTCATATATGTACTGTGCACAAGCCACTGAACCAGTTTTCTCAGTCATTATCTTAGGAAATCTTGTGCTGTGTTCAAAAGGGATTTTTACATGAGGATCAAACTTTGAAAAAGCAAACTATATCATATGCATATATGATATACCTAGTTTGTTTGGGTAACCAACACTATATATGTATTGTTTTCATTTGCTGATTTTTAAAGCCAAAACTAATAATGGACTGTTGTTAATTACCTACAATTGGTGGAGTTTGACAATTGCAAGCTTAAACAGACATCTGATAGGATTGTCATGTTCAAACATTGAAGGTGTTAAAGTAGTAAAAGACAAGCATAGTTATGTTATGAGATGGATACAACACAGTCAGGTGGACACGTTTTGTCTGAGACTTCTTCAACAGTCATATCACCTCTTTCAGAAATAGAAACAGTACTAAAGTACTGCTTCTTTTTCTGAAAGGGGTATTGAAGAAGTCTCAGATGAATGTGTCCACCAGATATTTGTGTTACCTCCATCTCATATGTATTGTATGTGTTCATAGGATGACCATTGACCATTCCGCAAGCTTCTTAAACTTCACAAATAATGCCAAAATCCATAACCCACTTTTCTTTCATGGAGAGTTAGCAATCCTCAAATGCCTTTCAGTAGCTTGTTCATCATGCCTTAACCCTCGCCAGCACAAGGGGTGCATCAACCCCCTAAGATTTTTTTTTTCGCGAATAACCCGCGTAAAAAAGCGACCGATCGCGACGAAACTTTCAGTACCCTGGGCCCTGGCATTGATCAATTTACACCTAACCTGAAAAATTCATGACCCTGACCCAAATGACCTTTGACCTGTGACCTACTTTCCGAGACCATGTTTGGGCGGAATCGCGATTCGGCGCATGTCGGCTCGCATTAGCCGCGCCTTTGCAAGCTTTCCGTGGTTTCAAACGTTCAAACATGTGATTTGATGTTTCTCCCATGCATTAGGGTGGATGTCAAGTACACCTGAAGGTCAGGTCATTGACCTTTGGTGACCTCGTTTCACTATTTCGAGTTTTACATGTTTCCAGGCTAGTTTTTTGAGCAGAATTCGAATTTAGCAACCATTTGAACAATAACGAAGTAGTTTTGGTGCCTTTGTAACTTGTTACGACGCTGTCAGAGGCGGTTGACACTACGAATACCCGTCACGACCCCTACTGGTTCACCTGACCTGACCGGACCCGACATGGTCTAAATGCTTCAAGACATCATCTGTGATAAAAACTAACGATATTCGTGATCAGCACTCCGAAAAACCTCTTAGCAGCCACACTATACGACTTTCTAACGGATCCCGATTTTCCCCACTTTTGGGTCATTGACCTGACCTGGAAGGTCAACCGATGACCTAGGACCTTGAAATTGGGTATCATCGGCTTTTTGTCGTGACAGGCAACACGCTCGTTTTTTTCCACGAAGCTCTAGCTCGATTAGGGGCCAAATGCGAGGGGGATCGTACCCCCCCCCGTGCCGCCGAAGGACGCAAAATGGGCTGTGCCGGCGAGGGTTAATCAGAGGTCTAATTCACCATGGGAGATTATGGAATATGATTGTGTTGACTGCCGATTACCAGCCCCGCAGATTTCGTCTTTGATATGCCTACAGTCCTACACTTGTCAATGGTATTTAGTCTAAATTCCGAGACAAGTCATACAAATTTCAATGTGGCGTTTTTCTCATAAAGATCGCTGGATTAATCGCTACAAGAGTCAAAGTCAGACGCTGACAGCTGACTGCTCAGGATGTTTTCTTAAATAAATCTGTCCCACTTCCAAACCAAGCAGTAAAACCAGGCTGAATCTTTTGCTCAATGATGCTTGCCCCCCCCCCCCCAATGCAAATTATCCTTACCTTTGAGGTATGTGAAAGTGAATGTGTAGTCGAATGCTGTTGTTCGCTAGCGGAACCGCACTGCCCGACTGGAACCGGCCGCCGCGTGCTCCAGGGTATATAACTACTATATATAGTACGTAGAAGCGTGCTCGGTCTTCGGTGAGTCACGTGACCGAGCTGACCTCGTTCTGACCCACTGCTTACTCGGGAATATGATTCTGACACTAGATGCGGCCATACAGAAAAGAGTGTTTCACTGTCATTTCGGATGGGAGCGCGTCTGCAATGCTGTATGATTAAGTCTTCGTAGTCTGTACCGTCCTCATAAAACCCTTCCCGCGCCTCTGCAGACACTCATTGGCTCGCTTCCCGCAGTGAGGCCATAGAGTCCACCGCGTAACAGTTTATTATCTTTACCGCATAAGCCCACTGACGCCTCTGACGGAAGTCGTCTCGCTCTCGTCAGTGGAAACTTTCCTACAATATCGGGAAATAAATCCGCTCATCCCACACCTTGAACGCCCCCCTGTATCGACACCCTCCATTCTAGCATCTGTCCCCAGCGTGCTGACCTCGCACCTACCTGGGAGTGGCGATCTACCGCGCTTGGCCGTCATCCGGCCAGCCCGGTCCCCTGGCGGGTGGTGCCGATCTAAATCGGGCGGCGCACTTGCCGACGGCGTGCCGGTCGGCCACGTGACGGGGGCGGGGCCGGCGCGACGTCAGGAGCCAATCTGGCAGACGGTCGCCGCTCGACGCCGGCTCGGTCGCCCGCTCGCTGGGGTTTTTGGCTCTTGGAGTGCCGGTTTCTTGGTGGTGTAGTGAGGAGTGCAGGTCGTCGCTCGGTGCGGTGCACGGCGGCTAACGGGGCAAAGAACTCAGGCACAAACGGTGACCATGATCATCCACGTGTTTCGTGTCACGAAAGGTGAGCGCCGCGCACCGCTGAGCCGGTACACTGGTGGTCAGTCGGACGGGGAGGGCGACGAAGGTCAGCTCCGGAAATCCCCAAAACGCTTTTCCAGTTCTGTCTGAAAGGATGGGATTAATTACATTCCGTTGAACTCCTTTGGCGACGACCGTGTACGGTCAGATGGCACGTGGCATGAATGCAAAAAGCGCTGCGCTACTAATCAGACATGTGAGCGCACATCTGTTACGAAGTTTGGATTGTTTTTTTGTTGGGTTAGGCCCTTTCGGTCGACAAGACCATTGCAGAGCCGGAAGGATGATAGGAATTAGGGGGAGACATTGGTCTGGGCAGGCACCCTAGTGAGTCGGGGCTGAGCCCGTCCAGAGGACAGGCCACCCAGCCCCAAGGCACTCACTGCACCCGGTTACGGGGTGCGCTCCCTCAGGAGCAGCGGTGCCGCTCCAAGGGAGCAGCCCGCATGAGATAAAGTTGCCTGTCCAGCCCGGAGGGGGGATGCGGCTTGGAGGAGGAGGATTTCAGTATCCTGGGGATAGAAGCACGGATAGGTGGACGAAGTTTGGAGTGTAGATGGAACATATCGCTATCTTGGGTAGGCGTTGGGCGCCCGTACGGCATTCTGTCCTTGGGACGGGCCACCTGTCGGGCTCCCTGGCGATGACAGCTTGGTCCCTGACCGGTGCGGGTCGCTCGCGCCTGTGCTCCCCCAATAGCGCCCCTGTCCGTACCCTCTCGCCCCGTTCGAGGCCCCTGCGGCCCCTGGCTCTCGTGCTGATTTTGGATCCCCGCCGGGCCAGATAGACTTCCGCACATTGATGGGGTCGGGACAGTGATCCGATATGACACCCGTCTCACCAGCTGATGTGCGTGACAGCAGCGGTGACCGGCCGTCGCGGTGCTCGCATTCGCCGGCAGAGACGCCTGGTGGCCCTGCAGAGGAGCCATTGGCACGTGCTCTGGCGGCCGCGTGGTGCGTGGCTCGGTGCCAGACTCGGCCGGCTGGCTGGCCCCCGCCACTGAGCCCCTGCCGGCCCCGGTCGGGTCGGGATGGGTTGGCTGAGGTCCGTTTGGGAACTCATGGTGCCAGGAAAATGGGTGAGGGTGCGCGAGGTCCCCTGGCGTCCGGATTGGACGATGAGGAAGGATGCCTGGATGGGGTATGGGCTGGCACGGACTGGGGCGTGCGGGGTATGTCGGGGAGGGGGTTATTTTTGGAGAGCCGTGTGACAGTGGAGTCCGTGACCCGTCACCACGGTCCC